GTATAAAACTTAATTGTCAAATGTAGAAAGAACAGAAAAACAGATTTTCAGTTTTTTCATGCAATCCCACTGTCCAATAAATGCCACCACTGTTCAAAATTTCTCTTTATACATATGAAATAGTATTTTTTTTTCTTTAATGTTCTTTGTTTTTTACTTGAAAATTAGTACTTTCTCTGTTCGGTATTATTGTCATGATTTTTATTTTTAGAGTTGAATTATAAAGATTTTGACTAACATTTTAAGATGAATTTTTTTATCATATTAATAATGTTAAAAATTGTAATTTATAGTACTTTTCATATAGTTTTAGGATATCTAAATTTTTTATTTAAAATATCGAATTAATGTGATCTAATTTACTTTTGAAAATTAGTCAAATTGACTTTCTATAACCGCAACATGACAAATAATTCCGGGCGGAGGGAGTAGAATTATTAAAAATGGAGGTGCTTTAGAATATTAAAAGTGAATTTTAGAAGTCCTTGATTTTTTATTATTTTTTCTTACTTTGGTGAAAGTTGAATGTTAAATCTTTTTGTTACTTGATTTTTGCAGGGCAAAAAGAAGATTTTTGAAGGGAAAAATGTGAATGCAGTATTGGAAGAAGAGATTGAAGATTTAGCAGAAAAACTTGAAGAGTTAAAGACAAGTTGTAAAAGTAAAGATGTTGAATTGAGACATTGTAGTAACTTTGATAAAAAAGCATGTCATTTACAGAAAAGGCTAGAGAAGCTTGGAGGTTTAACAGATGAAAAAACTCTCAAGGAATTACAACAGCTAGCTCAATCAACAAATGAAATTGACAAAGAAACCAAGAATAATACTTCTGCTGATGTAAGTTTTGCCTTTTTCATTTTTTCTATTGATTAATGTTGCTATTGGTATTCTTTACTTGAGTCGATAGTCAATCGAAAACAACCTCTCATAGCAGTTATAAGTTAGGGGTAAGATTACATACATTCACCCTACTCAGACCCCATTTATACAATTTTACTAGATATATTGTTATATATAGTTATCAAAAAAAAAGATAGTCAATATAAAAAATATCTCGCGTTAACATAGTTTGGAAAAGGGTTTCACTCTAAGGAAGGAGTGTCATGTAGGCATACCTAATGTAAGCAAAAGTTGTAATCTTAAATAGAGGCTATAAAGTAAAGCCATTTATGCATGTTTATCAACTAAGTAATACCATATAGACTTTTTGTTGAGAAAAAAATAAGATAATTGGTTTTACTTTTTGGATGTTTGTGTGCATTAGTTAATTATAATTGAGAATGAACTATTTGAAAATTTCACCTTGGAATAAGGGTATCTTGTTATTCCACGTGGACTTTTTTTAAAAAGAAGTACAGTAATAAAAAATTTGAAAAAAGACAACAGGGGTGGTGGTGTTTTTTCATAAATAATTCAACTTTAGTACATTCTACAAATTTTCAATTATATATTCACAAAATTCAAGTAATCTTGACTACTTGTAGTTTTTGAAAAATGAAAAAAAAGACAATTTGACGCTCTAAGTTTTCTATGTAAGAGGTCCAGATAAGAGTCTCAACTACAAGATTCTACCGTACGTAGTTTTATCATGCATTTTTGTAAGGGATGTTTCTATCGCTCGAACTTATGACCTCCTAATCATTTGACAATAACTTTAACAGTTACGTCAAGGCTTTATACTTACAAAAATTGCAAAAAAAATGTTTGTAGGTGGAGTTGTTGAGGGAAAAAATGGAAGGACTATCAAAGGGTATGTTAGATAGAATGGAGGAGGAATATGGGGCAATACTTTCAAGCACAGCAAACAGTTCAGCTTCAACTTCCAAGAGAATTGACTCTATTACAGACCCTACATCATCTTTCTCTATAAGACAACAACCATCTCAGGTAAAGTCAGAACAGATAAAATGTTTTTATACATATAATAATTGTACTTCTTTGTCTGTACCTCAATATTAATTTAAAATCATGTACTACACTTACTATAATGAACTTATTGTGTTTACTACTTCAGTTTCAATTTGTTTGTCCTGTTTTGATTTGACATGAAGCTTAAGAAAATAATCAAAATGCCCTTAATCTTATGGTCTTAACCATACTATGTGAAAAAGTTGAAAGTAAATCTCCGAAAGGAGAGAGTATTTCTTGAGGATGTCTTGTAGTAAGATTTTGATGCTACTAATTAAGACCCTAGAGTTATTTCAAAATTTGTGTAACATAAGATAAAATCACCAAACAAGCACCACAAATCATCAAAATACAAGTAGTAGCTGCTCAACTGGTAATAGTTATTATCTTAGCTAGTCACGTTTTCTTTGTTGAAGAAAATTCAAATCAGAGGCGACTTTTTGAGATAATAACTATAAGTTGAGTGACCAGAAATTAACCCTATATTAGAAAATAGAGAGGAACCTGGAAATGTTGTGTTGCTAATTGTAGTTGTTCTAGATGTTGGATAGGACCTTGTAGTTGTTTGGCAGTTTTTATCTTACGCAGCAACTTGCTTGTAGTGTCAGGGTCGGATTGATATTTCTAGTGACTTACATTTTATGCTAAGTATAGCGATAGACGATGTGTTCTATCATAGTTATTGAACTTAGTTTTATGGCTTTGTTGTAACAGACCTGTAGTTCGATGATCAGTGAAATCAATCTAAAGAGAGTATTTTGCATAACATCTCAAGAATCATGCATTTGTAATATGGTGTACTTGTCTTTATCATATTATAGAGTTTTATTGCTAGTTTTGAACTGAAGAAGCAGTTTTTTCACCCTTGTTTTATGCAAACAGGACATGTTGCCACTCGAGGAGAACAAATGTTCAGGGCGTTGCAAGGTTATAGTTCGAAGGATTGTAGAACAAGTGAGAGCTGAAACTGAGCAATGGTCACAAATGCAGGAAATGCTGCAGCAAGTCAGAGGGGAGATGGAAGAACTTCAGGCTTCACGCGATTTCTGGGAAAACCGAGCCCTTAACTTTGCTCATGAAATCCAATCTTTACAGTCCTCCGTAAGAATCTGGTTCTTTGTTTACAATGACATGTTGAAGAAAGAAGTTTAGATTTGAAACAGTACACTATATCACTTCTTTAAAAGTATCTCATTTACTTTTCACTTGAGCCGAGGGTCGTTTGGAAACAGCCTCTCTACCTCCACGAGGTAGGGGTAAGGTCTACGTACACTTATTGCGATTTCACTTGATATATTGTTGTTGTTGTTGTTATCTCATTTAACTTGGATTTCATAGGTGGAAGAATGGAAAGACAAAGCACAAGCATTTGAAACCAAGGCAAAGGATATGCAGTATGAGTTAACTGCAGCGAAAGCCGAGCTAGAAAAATCAAGAACAAAGAGATCAACAGCACATGATCAGAGGGAGGTAACATCTACCCCGAATTCACCTCTGCTGTCATTAGCCAAGCAAATTGAGAAGGAAAAACGCGTGTTGGTTTGTCGGTTGAAAGAAGAAAATGTCAATCAAAAGTTGCAAAAACAAAGAGGTGTTGAAGTGATATCAACAAAAGATTTGCCTCCAGTTTCATTAGGGAAACAACTAGAGAAGGAAAAACGCATGTTTATGCATCGTCTAAAGGAAAATCGCGGAGCCAATGACACGAGTTGTAAACGAGAAGTTTCTCCTGTTGGGAGGAGAAAAGAACATTCTTGCAGCAAAGAATCAAGAGTACCAAAAAGGCCACCATTTAGAGATGTTGGAAATTCATCACCATTATTGGTAAGGCAAAATAGTAAAGCAATTTACCCTTTGCACAGCCCTTGAAGCTAAGTACTTGTCTCTGCTTTAAGTGAGAATTTGCTAGGTATTGACTGGTGCAAGAGCAAACAATTTTGGTAATAATAAAGGTATTTGCATTACTAATTTTGCTGCATAATTCGAAACTCGGTGAACAATGGGTCACATATCTCATGTTGCGCTCTTATAATTCAAGATCTCAAGCTTAGTACAGAGAAATGAAATCATAAGAAGCATTTTGGTTAAACCACACCTATGTTTAATAAAATATTCATCTGCGTTGGATTATCTAAGGAAAATATTATAATTTCATTTTGTATAATATTTTGGATAACTTGATCTTCTTTTTATTTTTTTATGATGAATATTAACTTATCGCTTGAATATTTTGAGGAGGAGGAAGAGCCAAATGTTTCTATAACAAAAATTAGAAATATATAAAGTAAAGTTTTATCTAATTTAAATTGACTAATAGTAGAAATTTTCTTGTATGATTTAAATACGATTATTTTTTTAATAATTGCTAATAATTAATTGAATATTAAGATGTGAATAATAATCTATGGAAAACTCTTTTATACAGAGAATAAAAAATTTAATCGGGTGCACCATTAATCTCTCCGTAACACATTTATTTGTTCCTAAAGTTATAACCCTGTAACTCGTAAATAAATAAATGTGTATTCCTCAATAGTTTGTACTTCTTCGAGGGCGGTTCAAGTATATTAATGACATAAAATAAAAATCAAATCGGTTCTTAAATTTAAATTGTTAATAATTTTTTATATGATTGATTTCTTTTTAATTTTCATTTGATAATATAACTTTCTTATTTTAAATTATTTTTCATGAGACATAATACTTCAAATATATTAAATCTCTTCTAATAATCTCTTCATTTTTCATGAAATATTTACTTTTTCTACAAATAGTATTCAACATTTGTTAAAAAAAGTAGTAACTTATAACATGTTATTATTAAAAATGAGGCCACTTAAATTTGGTTGCCTGAGGTATATTTCTTTTTTTTAACGTTGTCGAGTCATCCTTGACTTTTTGTTATCTAGTTCAAAATCGAACGAATAATAATTAACAGAAACTTTGTACAAATTTTAATCTCTTTCTAACTCAAGAAGTTGAATTTGCTAGATTAAACCTACCTAATTGTATTTTTAATATGATATAATATTATCTGTTCGGAATAAACTCAATAGTAAAAAATAATTTGTATGATAGGGAAACTAATTTTTCACAATTTCATACTCTCGATAGATGCAAACAAAACCCAGTATATATAGAGGTTTTGGTTATAAGGGGGGTTTAGCTGAAACTACCCGACCCGACCCGTTTTTCATTCTTCTCCGGCCGGTGACCTCCCCTCCCTCTCCAAAATGGTCGGCTTCCATGTTCGCCGACTGGCCCATCGGCTCACTCGTTCTTCTATCTCTGCCCTTCTTCTTCATGATTCTGCTTCTGTATGTGCATATTTTTATTAAATTCAAAAAGTTATGTGTTTTTTATGTGCATATTTTTACTTTGGTTGATTTCTAAAGAGTTCTATGTTCAATGTAGGCGGCGCATGTATCATTATTGAAAGTGGGTTCAAGGAGTTACAACACTGCGGCGAAGAATCGAATTAGGGATTTGTTTCCATCCAATTGTTCAAACGGTATGTCTCATATGAGCCTTATTTGCATCTGCAATTGAGTTAATTTTAGTGAAGTTACAGCCTTTCTGTACTTTGATATTGGTTTATGCCTTTGAACCCAAGGGTGTGGCGTAGTGGTCATGGTGTCAGGTTCAAACCCCACGAGCCTGCAAACTGGCCAGGACAGTAGGTTATATTAATAATAAAACTTGGTTTATGCCTCTGTTGTATTGTGTGAAGCAAAACAAGAGTGGTAGAAAAATTGTCCATCAAAGCAAATTTAGGTGCAGGATGGAGCGTTGGGTTATTGATGCCTATTTATGTTATCCTGTTTCAATTTTTTTGTCCTATTTACCTTTATTCTATTAAAAAGAAGTATCTTTCTGTTTATAGCAATGGTATAATTCGAACTTTCCACGTGATATGTTTAAGACCTCAAGATTTAGGATATTTTGGTACATTTGACATATCTTTAGTGTAAGACCAGTGGATTTAAATGTCTAGTTACTTCTTTAAACTCCACGTCAAGTCAAAATAGGACAAATGAATTGAAACGAAGGAAGTGATGTTTTTTCTGTTAGTGTGTGTTGGAGGGTCTAACATTATAGCTTATTTTGTAGCTTGGCTTGTTTGTGAATTTCGTGAACTTACATCATTTTGGTGGCCTTTTTTTTTTGGTTCTTGGGTGAAGTAGAGATACTTATAATTTTTCGAGGATGGTTAAATTTTATAAACAAAGGACAAGGATTGTGCCAAAAAGTAATATACAGCTTAGATCCTTTACATTACTGTTGGAAGCTGAGAAAGCTATCATCATATCCACAGAAGTGACAGCTTCTAGCTTACACCAAAAAGCCATGAAAGTAATACATGTGTGCTTCAGTTAACGAGCATTCTCATATTTCCTTTGGAAACATCTTTGCTTTAACAGAAGAAGAGATACTTTTATTAACAGTGAGGTCTAATAGATGCATAATTACAGAAGTACTAAATGCAAAACTCGAGGAGCTAATGAATTCAAAAACAGTTTTGCTTTACTTTCATCTCATTGTTTACACCAAAAAAAAGATCCAAAAAACATTTTTCCTTTAGTGCAGGGTCTGTCATTGAGCTTCTTCCAAGCATATTGCATTCCTGTCTTTCCATAATGTCAAAGATATACAAGATGGTACTGCTTTCCATATCTTTTTTCTTGCTTTCTTCTCCACCTTCAGTTTTCCAAGTAGGTGTTGTCCACATGAAGTGCTGTTACCTTTCTTATACCAGTTTGAGATAGGAATACCCAAGCAAGTCAAGTGTCTGGGAACATAACATATTAACATTGTCGCACTGAAAAAACTTCCAATTCATTTGGCTTATCTCATAGAGAGAAGGAAAGTGACCTCTCCATGTTTGAATTGACAACATGACAAAAGAAAGTAAATGACATTAGTTGGTGCTAATACTATTAATTTGCACTTCTGTGTCATTTTGACAAATGTTTGTTTTGGCAGTACGAAAGAATTTCATTTAAAAGGCTTGCATAAAGGAAGGTTATGCTATTGCTCTTGATTTACCCTTCTTTCCTCTTAAAATCAGAAATAGAGTGCATTATTCTTCTCAAGCAGCTTCTTTATACCAAATATATTAAAAGAGTTGATACTTTTATCTTTTCCTTTTTCTAATGCCACAGAGTTCTAATCCGTAAATGATGATAATTCTTCCTAAAAAGGAAGTGTAAAGGAGTTCGAGTTCATAATACTAATGCTTTAAGGAGAAAGTTTCCAATATGAAATATAATGGAGTAGTCTTAGTGATTGAATTTTGGTTTGGCTAGTAGACTATCCTGTATTATTTAGAACATTATGTATAAGTTCATTAAATTTTTGAGTATCTTGCAATTTTTTTGAACTTGGTAACAAGTCTATATATAAGAGCACTAAGGAAGTGCGAGTAGGAACAAAAACTGAGTTTACAGTGAACCAAGCAAATCTACTAGGAATTCTGTCTCCTACACTAAAAGTAGAACAACAAGATACAACTCAGATTAAATTTCTAGATAGGAGTGTGATTATTGTATAAAGTTCTTGCATTTCCCTCATGCCTTACTGTCCACCATATACGAGCAGATACCATTCTCCACCAGTTCAAGTCACATCCATTATAGTTCCAATAGTGGATCATTTCACTAGTCGTAGCTGGCATAACCCAACTAAGTCCGACAATGTTAAGAGTCACCAAGCTGGTAAGGATAAGGCCGTGGAGGAAAAGATGGGCATTACTTTCCAAAGCAGAACCACATAGAGGACAGATGGAGCATAGCTGAAATCCCTCCTTTTAAAGATTTTTCTGAGTTAAACAAGCTTGTATTGCCACCCGCCATGAGAAACAGACCACTTTGAAAGGAGCCTTGACTTTCCAAATAAACCTCCATGGCCAACTACCTGTGAATTTCTTGTCCCTCATTTTTTGTTACTACCTGTTGTTTATTATGCTCGGTTATCACATTATTTTGCCACTGTTACTGTTCCTTTTTCCTGAATGAATGATATGTAATGTTTTCTCTATTATTTTTCTATGTCCTATTTACTTAATACACTCTTTTTCATACTGCTCTATTATGTGATAATACTTGAGTCCAGGGTCTTGTGGAAACAGTCTCTCTATCTCCATGAGATATGGCTGAGGTCCCGTACACTCTACCCTCCCCAATGTACCCCCCACCCCCAAACTACCTGACTTGGATTGGATAGCGGAAGGTTGATTTAGCGTTAAAGATGTCATTCCTGCAGCTATTCCAGAAAAGTGAATCCTCTTCGTCTTTAAAACCTTGGGAAGTTTCCAGACTCTTGAAAAGTTCAACAGCTCTTTCATGCTACCAGTCATGTAGGAGTCTTCTAAAAGTAACATTCCGTCCATGTTGTGTCACGACCCAAAACGAGTCGCGACTGGCACCCACACTTACCCTCCTATGTGAGCGAACCAATCAATACAAAACCCAACATTTCGAATATAATAACACAATATAATGCGGAAGACTTAAACTCATTAATGAAAATCAATTAAATAACTTCTAAAAACTCGACAACTATTATTACCCCAAAATCTGGAAGTCATCATCACAAGAACATCTATCCTCAAATTACTAAAGCTAAGAGTATCTAGAAAGCTAGAATAAATAAAAAGCTAGTCCATGCCGGAACTTCAAGGCATCGAGACATGAAGAAGAAGATCCAGTCCAAGCTAGAAGCGTTAGCTCACCCCAAAATCCGGTGTAATGAAGACTGGCTAGAGTTGCGGTTAAAGTTGAAGACGACGGCACGTTTGCTGCACTCCACAAATAACAAGGAAAGAAACATACAAGTAGGGGTCAGTACAAAACACGGGTACTGAGTAGATATCATCGGCCAACTCAAAATAGAAAACAATATATATCAGATCATATCATAAATCAACTACAATACTCAATCTGTAGCAACAACATGTACAAGAATCTTTGATAAATAACGTCAAGTACACTCATGAGGACTCAAGCCTCCATATCATACTCATTTTTGGGAATTAGGTTCCTTTCATTCGAATTTATTAACATAATTCTAAGATTCATTATCTTTATTCCTCTTGTGTCGGCACGGGACACTCCGCTCCCCTATTACTATGTGTCGGAACGTGACACTCCAATCCCCTAATTCTACGTGTCGGTTCGTGACACCCGATCCCCTAATTCTACGTGTCGGTTCGTGACACCCGATCCCCTAATTCTACGTGTCGGTTCCGTGACACCCGATCCCCTAATTCTACGTGTCGGTTCGTGACACCCGATCCCCTAATTCTAAGTGTCGGTTCGTGACACCTGATCCCCTAATTCTACGTGTCGGTTCGTGACACCCGATCTCCTAATTCTACGTGTCGGTTCGTGACACCCGATCCCCTAGTTATACGTGTCGGTTCGTGACACCCGCTCCACTAATCTCATTCTATTAATTCATCAAGCTTTCTTTTATACCAAGACATCATCAATCTCATTACTTTAGTTCATCAAGCCTTCTTTTATACCAAGGCATCATCATTAACAAGGGGTTTTCAAGATTGGAGTTTTCAAGATTCGGGATTCAATAGCTTCATCATGCTTATTTCATCACAATTATATAATCATATTCATGCAAGCATACAATTAAGCATATAGACGATTTTACAATACAACCCAACACATATCATTCGCTATTAAGAGTTAACTACGAATAGTATAAAAACCATAACCTACCTCTACCGAAGATTCGTGATCAAGCAAGCAATTTCCCAAGCCTTTTCGTTTTCCCCTTCGTTCCTCTCTCTCGATCGATTCTCCTTCCCTCTCCTTGTTCTTTCTATTTTTCTTATTCAAACCCTCTTTCTTTTACCCTAATTAACATATAATTAAGTATGAAAGATGATGAATTTAACCCATTAATTAATTCGAGGTTATCTCTTCTAACCCTCAAGTAGTTAAATTATTAACATTAACCCACTAAATTTATAATTATAGCAGGAATAGTCCAAAACGTCCCTTAAAATATTTAAAGAAATCCGACTCAACCTGGGATTACGCAACCTGTGACGGGCCGTCGTGCCTGCGATGGTCCGTCCTGTTGCTTCCGTCACAGAGTTCAGAGACTGAGATTTACTGAAGAGTCTGTGATGGCCCGTCATGCCTGTGACGGTCCGTCCTGTCACTTCGTCACGAAGTTCAGAGAGTCGATTTCAGTACCCAATTTTCAAAATTCTAAGTATTTTGGAACGAGACACCCTCGACGGTCCGTCGTGCCTATGACGGTCCGTCGACCAAGACAGCTTTTCCAGAATTAAAATCTGATGCTCAAAACGACTAAACAGGTCGTTACATGTTGACCCCACAAGGTTTTTAGCTTGGCTTCAGGGACTATACTATATAATTCAGGGAAAAAGTATTGGAGAAGATTATGCTCAAGCCGGTTATCGCTACAAAAGAGAGCTTTCCTACCATTTCCTATCCTTATGGTAGTGTTGTCAGATAGAAGGTCCCAATTGAATTTGATGGCTTTCCTCACCCTCACCCCATATAGACTATTGACAACTTTAGAGCACCATATGGTCATCCTGTCCACATTTTTCACGAATTAGCCTTCTCCACAGAGCATTGGTTTCCATATTGTATCTCCATAACCGCTTCATTAATAGGCTTTGATTGTGGTTCTTGAGGTTCCTGATTCCCAGTCCTCAACTCCTTTCAATAGTGAGGAGAGTGCTCTTTATTTTATTTTATTTTTTTAAAAAAATAGTGAGGAAAGTGCTCCAGTTAACTAAGTGAAGCGCTTTCTTGTCTTTATTACCTTGCCAAATAAATTAGTCCTTGTATTATGAGTTTATCTCATCTGTGCTCATTATGTTATCCAACTTACTAAAAAGAACCTTCAATTTGTGTGATACAAACCTTTATCTTAGGTCAATGCAGTCAATAGGCTTTACATGTATGTTCTCCTATGCATAGATGTGACAGAAACTCAAGTAGCATAATATTAATGGGTCTAATGTTAGATTTCATTTCCTAAACTACTTTTTTTCTCGTTGAATGCATTGCAGCCACATCACCCTGCAACCCAGGGACATCATATGGACCCTTGTCGAGATACCAAATTTTGTTGGGCCTGGTCAGTAGCTTTGCAAGATAATGTAATACTTGAAAAATTTCTAGAAATTATTGATTGTGAGACTCTTTCGTACCCCATCCTGTTGGATTTTGTTTATTTTCCACTGTTATCATTTTAAGAAACAATTATATTAATTTGAAATTTCATATCATTCTCCTTTTGTTTTACCTGAACTTTTGTTCTTTGTCTCAGGGGCATAAAGAATATTGCACTACTACAGGGAATGAGGAAAAGCAAACGTAAGTTACGTATGAATTGTTAACATTATGTTTTTTTCTTTTACCAGTTGCTTTCTCTTTGAACTAGGAAACCTTGAATTTCCTTACTCACGAGGTGCTGTTGGTTGCTAATTATTGTTGACCTAACTGTATTGATCAGCATCTCAATTTTCGAGGGCAACTTCTAACTGCTACGTACCAGAGCAGTTAGAATGGCATTTAAATTGATTGAAAATATGAAGTTATTTTGATAAGGATTAGGACCTTGGATTTGTTTCTTGTGGAAGGGGATTCATGCAATGGACTTGGGGTTTCAAGGTCAACTAGGGATGGTTTGAAAAATTTCTTGATTATATTATATTTAATTTTTCTTTTTTTGAGTTTCCTTTAATGCTACAATAGATGTACAAAGGGTTTGATCCATTTAGTATTTGTTCTAGCCTAGTTAAAATTGATAACCATTGGGTTTGTTTGTACTTACGATTAATTTTGCTATTAGTTTGACTTTACTTTTCTGCAAAAGTAGTTTAAAGAAAGTCGTATCATATCATAACCCAAGGATGTGGCTTAACAGTTAATGAAAAGCGAAAACCATGGAAGACCGCGGTTCAAACCCCAATAGAGACAAAAAATGTTTGGTGATTTTTCCATAAGCATAAGCCTTGGTGGGCAAAGTTACTCGGTACTTGTACTGGTGGGAGGTATTATACACCCAATGCAATTGTTGAAGTACCTGTAAATTAGTCCATATACCGTCATAGAAAAGGGTCATGTAATAAAGTTGAAATACATTTTTTTTGAGAAGTAACAGAAATACAATCTTTTTATATAATGAATAGAATGGACAGTATAATTTTAATGATTTGTGTCTTAACTATGCCCTTTTTTAATCAAGTCCTATTCGAGATTGGTTCAAATATGCTTTGATGCAAAACCAAATTCTGACATTTCTAACATAATCAGATCAAAGCTGATGCCCTGATATATCTGATGTTTTCTTCTCTAAGCTACTTCCATGGAACATATATACACGTGCTCCTCCTAATCTAGATTTGCGAGTTTCCAAAGACTGCCCTAGAGATTGGGCAAACATTTTATCTTTCTGCATCTTATGATCTTGTGTACACCCTGTGTTTCTCTGCGAGCAATATACATTATTTCAGAGATATCTCGTCAGTAGTTGAATAGCCTTTTAAATACATGGTTATTTTGATCTTGGATTGAAGTCCAATCTCCTGTTGTGTTTGTTGCATAATTTCATCTCTAATATGTCTGGTGGCGTGTCACTAGATTATACATATCTTCTACTGTTCTCTGCCAACTTTTACATGTTCTCTCTTTTTCACAGAATATCTGTAACATTTGTTGACAAGGATGGAGAAGAGAAGCACATCAAGGTCCCTGTTGGAATGTCTTTGTTAGAAGCTGCACATGAGAATGACATTGAGCTTGAAGGTTAGCTTTGTTAAGGCATTCTAAATCTTATATGTTGATTTAATAGTGGCATCCTTAAACCAGTTTAGTCTAGATTCAATAGGAACTTTATGAATCTGATCGCTGCTTGTGATTAGAATGCCTTTATTGGGCTGGTACTCTGATCAAACTTTTTCACCTCACAATTATTCTTATCCGAAAAAGATGGAGTAATTAATTAAATAGTGTAATAATCTAAGTTCACATTTTGAGTCTTGGAGTAAATGAGGGAAGACCCTGAGTTGATTCAAAGTTAGTTAAAGAAGAATCTGAACTCCAAGCTATTCAAAAGGAATACTGGGAGCACTGCAAGTATTCTCGTCTTCATATTATAAATACTGGTGAAGTGGTGATAGTGATGAGTTGAGTGTGGGAAGGCGTGTGAGAGTTGGTAATGAATCTTGAGACATTGTCTAGAGAGGCAATGCCGCAAAACTAGTTGGATACTGGCGGGGCCCAATAAAGGTAGTTGGGCATATTAGACACGTACTAACATTCTTTCCAAATTATGGTGTAATCTTTCATGTTCAGTTTTACCTTTCGACTATTAATATGAGCTCTCATTTACACAGATCTGGTTAACGTTACTGAATGACCATCTCTGCCTCCCTACAGTTAGAATTGTATACCAAAACAGTTTTGGGTGTTACTGGTGGACATTTCTTAGCATATCTAAGTTACGGTGCCTTATTGTTTGTTAAGTTTAACCGAACAAAATTGGCTTTGATGCAGGAGCATGTGAAGGATCACTTGCCTGTTCCACATGTCATGTGATAGTTATGGTATGTAACATATGATCAGGCCATAAACCCCTCCTTTGCCTCAGCTTTGATCCATTTAAAAGTTGTAACCTTTTAACTGAGCTTACCTTCGTTATCTGAACTTTGACAACTCTGGACAGGATGTGGACCAGTACAACAAGCTAGAAGATCCAACAGACGAAGAAAATGACATGTTGGATCTTGCTTTTGGCCTCACAGAGACGTAGGTCCCTTCTATTAGTTGTATTGGTTTTCAGTTTACTGTAATATTCTCAAGCTTCTCATATATTATGCATTCGTTCTCTTCAGGTCTCGTCTAGGTTGTCAAGTAATTGCTAAACCTGAACTTGATGGAATCCGCGTAGCTCTTCCTGCAGCCACGAGAAACTTTGCTGTTGATGGCTTCAAACCAAAACCACATTAGAGAATCTCCAACATGGATAAAAGATTACTCATGGGGTATCCGCCAAAAATCGAAGCCTCCCAGTTTTGTAGGCCTCTTACAAGTGAGTGTATAATAATACCTTTAGGGTGAGTATGGTATCACATATTATGTTGGAAATTGTGACCAAAGTCAGCTGTTGTTTAGGCATTTAGTCAAAGGATTTGATTGATTATTTTATTAATAATATCACCAAGGCTCAACTCCTCTTTTGATAGTGTTATCTTTTCACTAGGTTTGCATTTTCTTGACTTTGGTTTAACACTTTTGTCAAATCATATCATTAAAGGTGTTTTATTTTTTCATTTCAAGTATATGCTTCAATCCACAACTCTTGTGAGATGTATTGTGTTTTTTATTTTTAGTTGTGAATGTACCCTTTCATCTTACCTTTTATCTTATATGCAAATCAAAGCATTTAAAATACAAGAAAGCATTCTTTTCAAACTTTTGTCAAAATACTCTCTTCTTTGTCTGGTCAAAGAGGGGATCAAGACCCTCAACATGTGGTGATTTTACTTGAAAGCCCATTTAGTACTCCGCGGAGCCTATGCATAAGTAACGATTGATTTTACTTTCCCACCTAGCTACTATAGGTTGGGGATAGTTTCTCAAGGCACATACGAAGAAGGCCTCTATTAAAAAGCACCGACACTTTATCCAAAAATATTGTTGAACAAGTATAAAATTGAACGTATATATAAATATAAATTAAACAAAAACACAACATACTTCACTCTATGATTGAATGATCTTAACCCTATGTTTACACCTTGTTTTTGCTATGTCAAATCTAGCTTAAGGTTTCTAATATGCCTTTTCTTTTTTTTTAAAAAAAAAGGGCAAAAGGAAGATGTAACAACCAGAAAACATTGTTGGACCAATGTACCAACTCAACTTAGTGTTTTAGAGGGTGCACATTAATTATATACAATTGAATTTTTCCCAAGTTAACAGGTGTATGTGCATTCATTCTCTCAAATGTGAGTCGGAGAGAAGATAATTCTATCCGAAAAATTTCAAAAATAGTTTTGAACAGTTCATAAATCATAAATATTCCAATAATAATCCTTCTTCGAAATTTATCATTTAAGCAGTTCAATTTTAACAATATAAGGTATTTTTCGATTAAACGGTTTATAATAAAATCAAGTTTTGTACTAAATAAAATTCATTATTTATAAGTAAAAAGAGTTCAACGATTCAAAAACACACTTTGATAGAACATGTAAATGCATGAAATCCGAACTTAGGACATAATGATCTCATTGCTGTAGAATTACATTTCAAATATGTGCTCTTTAATGTAACCTGACCCCCTATTATCTTTTAAATTTTCAATTTTAGGTGCAAGACATATGTCTTGTGTTCCAAGAAAGCCAATGACTCAAATATACATTATTGAGTCTGAATCTTCACAAATTCTCTACTCTACTTTTATTACACTGAGATCTACTGTGTAAGCAAAAGAGCATAAAAATATTGTTAGTAAGACTGTGTATCAAAAGAAGAAAAAAAAGAAGAAGAAGATTGAGTGTAAACATTAGACATATATTCTAAACTTGTACTCATTTAAAGATTCCAAATGCTAGAAGCGAACATCCTTGCAACCTAAGGGGACTGAACAAAAGATCCACATTGGATCCCAACCAGTATAAAAACATCTTGTGCAAATCTTATTTCTTTATTTTTATTTTTAGTATTATTTTTGGATCTAACCATCAACTGGTGATTCTCGCAAGTCGACTACTTTGAGAAGAAAAATGAAAAAGAGCAATTCACCCCCTCTTGTACTTTCAATTGGCATCAGAGCCTCGTCTCACCAATCTCTGTCTAGCAATATGTGAGATAAAGATCATGACACAATAAATTATGAACACACTATTTCAAGAAAAGACGTCTAAAAAAAAACCTCCTTATTTCAATGAAAAACATTTCTCCTACGGGAAAGTAAGAATGGATTGTTTATGTTGACACAAAAAAGTACTTAACATTGACAAAACCTTTTTTCTTAGCTAACAAATGATGTGCTAAATAAATTTTACACGACGAAACTAGAAAATTGAATTGTGACTTATTTTTAAGTCTCAAAATTAAATATTGTTAACATGTTTAACCAGTCAAGATCAAAGACCTCTTAAAAATCTGATTAAGTTAATTGTGGATTGCAATAACATTGTTAATATTTGCTAAACTTTTCCAAAAAAAAAAACCCAAAGCCATAGCTGTTTTGATTGACTTATTATTTTAAAAGCAACTTTCACATATAAGAAACAAAAAAAATTATATTTGTATGCTATATTTATAGTTTGCATAATTGAACTCCATAGTAAACATATATATGTATAATTTACTATACATATACAAACGAAAGCTATGCCTATTTCTCTATACATACATATAAAGAAGCAATTGTATAATTTAATGGCTCCTCTTCAGATTTGTATAATTTCGATGACAGGCCATTTGTGTAAATTATTGTTAGCCTCTCGTTATAAATCATTGAAAACCTCTCAATTCAATTTCATGTGTTTGTACATCTTATAAAATTTGAATTTGTGTACAATTAAATCGAAATAAAACATTTTTATATCAAATATAACTCTCTCTTTCGCTTTATACAAACATAAATTATGAATTACATTCTGTATAGTATGTGTTTGTATAAAACGAGAAAGAGAGAAAGACAAAAGAGAACTTGGTAAGAAAATATTTGTATCGTATAGCTATAAGTGCATAAAACGAAGATATATGTACTTGCATGTGTATATATAATTTTCTCTCGCTTTATATTAACATAAACACAATTTATACATTTCTATTGTATAAAGCGAAAGAGGCGAGCGATCGAGAATTTGAAGAAGAGAGACGATTGACAAATAAATTGCTCCATAGCACAATTAAATTAAACAGGAAGTATTTATTTTACATGTACAATTATTCCTTATTTTAAGGATTTTTGACTTCAAATTCTTTTTTAATTTTAAAAGTGTTTAGGTAACTTGCAAAAATAATTTTAAACTACATAAAAAGTCAAAAGCCAAAAATAAAAAGCTAAAAGCCAAACTTGCAATTTCTCTCTCTTCTCAGGTAATGCTTGTGCAAAAAGTTGAGATTTTGAAAATTTCTTTTGGATTAATGAAAAAGAACTGTGAGTGTGAGTGTTAATAATTTTATAGAAACCCTATTTTTTGGTATTTGTTCTCTTCTTAGCATTTATACCTTAACCATGTTCTTTTAAGGGAAATATGAATTTTATGTTGTTAATGTTCTTCTTCTTCATGAACTTGGTTGGTCAAGTAGGGAAACTTTTATTTGAGATTCTGGCTTAACTTTAGTGACACTTGTTATTATATTTTATACTTCCAATAATGGGTTCAATGGTGTATTGAAATGAGTTCATAAAATTAGTGTTTTGAAAATAATGCTTTTGGTCAATTTAAAGTTAAGGTCTTTTCTTCAAGGTTAAGTTTAGAGTTAATGATTTTGTTGTTTCATGTATTATGCTTAATGATTTTGTAAATAGTGTGTGTATCTTTAGTGAAAATTAAATTTTTGTTCTTCTTCTTGTTGTTTGGACATTGTTGTGAAATTTTGTTTTTTTTTTTGCTAAGAAATGTGAATTTTTGTTGTTGTTCTTGGTGTATACTTGTTCTTGAACATTGTAATAAGAAATTTTGTTGTTATTGTTCTTGAACATTATTATGAAAGTAGTGAAATGACAAATGACTTGTTGGATAAAATATTGATTGTTGTTTAGAGATTGTAAAATAGATTTTAGTGCATACTTCTTTGTTATTATTATATTTGGTGTTGTTAAAGGTGTAGTAAAACTGATTTATTTTTGTTGTGGTTATTGTCGTCCATGACATAAAACAAACATCTTGCATTGTTTTTTTTTTTGGTTATATATATATTTTTTATGTTTTCTCTTCTTTTGAGTGATGCACAAATCAATTGAAACCTTTTTTGTTTATCTATTTTTTTGCAGATAAAATGGATCAAATCAAAAGAAAGGAACAAAAATCAACTTCATGCAGAATGAGTAAAGTAACTAGAGTACAAACACCATCGAAACAACTTGCCGATGAAGCCCTTTCTCAAAGAAATCATTCTTTTCCAGTTAGTGGTTGAAATAGAGGAAAATGAGAAAGTAGTGCAAGGAGATAGAAATGAGGAAGTAGGTCTCGGGGGAGGAGGAGAAACTAGTTCAAGTTCTAGAGCCATAGGGAATGAAGTAGGGGAAAGGTCGACGACTGATGTTGAGATTAGATCAGAAGTCCAACATAGCATCCCTTCAGCCCCTGGATTTGTCAAAACTTTTAGTATTGACAAGTTTCAAGTGAAGATGCCCATTGATGATGATACAAATTTTGGTGATTCTGTTGTTAAATCTGTGATGGGAAAAGCATTTGATAAATTCAGGGTGATATTGAAGGAGCAAAAGGTCTAGCTGTTTTGGGTTGTATCTTGATCTTCCTGAGAATAATAATGCACGTTTTCGAATGACTATGGTCTTTTGAAACGTAGGATTCTATATGAGGATGAGGAAGAAAAAGATGAGATTTGGATAAACTACTGTGGCATGCCGATATGTTTTGGTATTAAAGAATTTGCCATAATTACTGGACTTAGATGTCATCATGCTGTTCAGCCTCTTCCTATTGTTAAGCCAAAGAATACAACCAACAAAACAAAGAAAGTCAAAGGCAAAGAAAAAATAGCTGATGATGATGACTTGGTGGATATTGTTGGTAAGAGCTACAGAAGCACAAATTTGCTCACAGATCTGGAGTCTAAAACACTTTCAAGTAAGCACAAAGAGTCACTGCGCTTAGTTTGGTTCGTGCATGCTATTCTATGGGCCAAAGACACCAAACAAGTCATACCAACTAGTTTGTTAAAGTTATCTCAGGATCGTGAGGAATTCAACAACTATCCATGGGGACACGAAAGCTACAATTTAACTGTTAAATATTTGTTGCAAAAGTTAGCACCCAAAACAATCAATCTGTTATGATTTTCTTCTTTAGTGTTTCATTTTTTGTTGAATAATTATTCTGATTTGTTTTTTGGCATCATTATATTTAGGCTTGGGCATTTGAAGCCCTTCCGCACCTCCGACAGCAAGTCAAGGACTACTCTGAAAAGGTTTCTTATCCAAGGATCCTTAGATGGTTGTCTGCCAAGAACAACCAAAAAGCGAATGTTGTCGACTTGTTCACCCCTCCTGATGATGCAGTAAGTCTTCTTTTATGTAGATTTTACTTAACTTGAAGGACATATGTAGCAATCGATCTATTAAATGTTGCTATATATTAAATATTTGTTTGAGTTCTTCTAACAGAGTATGTGCACCAAATGTGTAGTCTATTGCAGCAAATTAAAAATCTGTGAAATAATAGAGCTGATTCAAAATTTAAACACTTTTGATTATACATGTGCTGATTTCTTTAATTATTAGTTGATTTTTATGATTCAAATACTATTTTAATATATCTACTTGTTGGTTGTAGATTGTGCATCCGTGGCTCATCCCTACTGATTTCGAATCAACCATGCCAGCACCTTCTTACTTTAGGATTTGTGAGAACTTTACCTGACAGGTTATTGATAGGATTAAAAGAGAATTGGATGGAGTTACGTCCATCAAAAGGGAAGCACTAGGTGGTGGTGAGGAGGCTGTTGGTGATCCCATAGGTGTTGTTGGTAGCGGTTTTGATGATAGTGGTGGTGGTGATGAGCTTGATGATGTTGCTCATCATTCAGTTTTTGAAAATGGAATTGATCATGATGATGCCTCGCCTAGCTTATGTGCTACTTGTCAATGCAAGAGCTGCAATGAAAGACGTGCTGAGTTAGTTAATCGTATCCATGCATTGACTGAAGCTGTAAATAATCTGGCACCAAAAAGGGGTATCAATCCATCTAAGATGATTTCAAACTCCTGCATTCCCATTGAGATTAGGAAAAGGAAGACGGAGATTTCAAAGGCATTGTCAACTATCAAAGTTATTAGCAAAGTTGTTAATCCACTTCCTCGGCCAGCTGTGCAGCTTGAGCTTCAGAAGGGTAAGTATTTACAAGTTTGTAGATCCTCCAAAGAACAAGCAGCTTGAAAAAAAATCCCATAATCTATGCTTGAGTTTGATGCAAGTGATTTTCCTGAAAATATTTAAGTGTCATGCGAGTGTAAAAAGATATTTTTGCTAAACAATCCTAAAACGCTACTTTGAAGAACTTCTTGAAAGAAAGAAAAAAGAAGCTCTTCACTAATGTCATGGAGTTCTTTTGGCATAATATGTAAATATACACTCAAACTTAGTACTCCAATTTTAAGTATTCACATGTAGACAACTTGGTCTCAACTGACGACTAAACACTCCAATTCTTCCTCATTGTGTCTCGTTGACACTTGATGCTGACATGACATATTCATTTTGGAAGTGTTTTAGAAGATCGTTTTGTAAGTTAGTGCATTCAACTAACACAGTTAGAGACGAGTTGAGGTGTCTTGATATGCTTACTCAAAAGTTTGGAGTACAACTTACTAGCCAACTGAGGCCAAGTTTGACTACCTATTTATGCCATTTCTTTTTCTCACAACTTGTCGAAGATTTTTCAAGTTTATATTTTATTTAGCGTCAAAATCCTCTACAATATAATGTTTGTCTCTTATATAAGCTCTATTATTTAATAATTGTCAATAGACATAAATTGCAACCTCAATCTATCACTTCAAATATAATTTGGTAAGTGGAAGTTAACATTGACATAACAGAAGTAGTTCGTCAGCTCCACAGTCCTAACAAACATAGTTGTGTCATTTTGGATGATTGCAGGTGCCTCCTTTGGAGCTAAATAGCGCGCAGGTTGAACGCATATACAGAGTACAGAACTGACTTGCTAATAGACTAGCATCGATGGCCACCACCACTACTGAAAATCCTATTACTATGCAGCTATTTTGGGAAATGCCACCATCATCGGAGAAACTTTGGCTTGACGATAAAGTGGTGCCACATCCGTCAGGAGGTTAAATGCTATTCATCATGATCCTTCTACGATGTATGATATTAGTAGAACAGTACTAATGCTGGTGATAGGTCTTTTGTATCTGCTGTAAATACTGCTGGTAAAATAGTGGCCCAACCACCACAAACTACCGTGGCTCAGCCACATCTCTGGTTTACCAAATTGAAATTATGTTTGTGTAGTGTATTATACACAATATTATGTTTGTGTAATGGATGCTCGAGAGGCCCTCTCTAAGCTATCTTCGAGCCTAGATATTATGGCACCCGGGGTGTTAATGATGAACTGAACTAACTACGAGTGCTAAAGTCCTTATCCGCTTAGTTAAATGTTATCCGAACCAATATCGCTAAAAGGTTTTGAGACATATATAAAAAGTGCTAATTGTCACTAAAAATATATATTTAGCGGCTATTAAGCTATTGTCATTGGTTAATTGCCACTAATGTCATTCTTGCATACTCAAGGCAACACTTCCCCATTGGCGAATTTATGTGGGAAAAATTGGTTATCGAAATCCGTGATCATTCGACAAAACTCGATATATTATTTGTTTAATTCTTAAAATATATTAAATATTAAATAAAGGAACCCATGATCATAAATGACTGGATGGTTCATGTTGGTTTTAGATTGTGAGGTTGAGGGTTTGATTCCAAGAGAGGACCTCGTTTTAGAACTTAATCAAAAAGCACCATTGTTTGTGATTTTTTAAAACAAAATAATTTAAAAGCTTGAGAGCTCTTAATTTTTTAAATAATTTATCGTTTCTTTTATAAAGTGTACTTTGAAAATTTCTTTATATGTAAAATTGCATTTTTTTTAATAAATGGTTTCATTTAATAATTCTTTTTCAATCAATAATTCATATAACTATGTATTTAATTTTTCTTATGACATAATACTCCAGATATATCAAACTTCAAATAATTATTTCCTTAAATATTATTTTTCCCATAAATTGTATTTAATAGTTTTATTATGAAAAACCTACAATCTGTTATTGCTAAAATAAATGAGGCTCTCAAATTTGAGAGCCTAAAGTGATCGTCTTTTTCTTAAAAGCGCAGAACGTCCTTGACAGTGTTGCATTGATTTTTTTTTTTAAATCCTGGATTCGACTTTCTTCTTTACACCTTTGTGTGTGGTGACTATAAATTTATCTTACAACCTCATAAGGAAAAGGGCGAACTTTTTTAAATGGACTAGAAAAGAAAGTAAAATAAACAAACTGAAATGGAGGAGTAATTAATATCATATGTATATATAAATTAAAAAAGATCAAGATTAAATTATTTTGAACACAAATGGGTAGATTATCATCATCTTGCTTAATTACACCTTCCTTAGATATTGACTACACTAGTTATTGACTTGCTATAAAGGTAGATTTTTTAAATCAGATATTTCCCATCTCTATTAATTAATTGTCCAAATTTTCCTTCATTTAGTATAAGGTGCTAGAAAAAAAAGAAGAGAGAAACCACAGAAAGAAAACAAAAATTCTAAATTTTTTTTTCCTCTCATAATCTTCATAGGCTAAAAGATGAATTGTGAGATAACTGGTAATGTAAATGTTCCTTCAGCTCACATTGGCCTCAGAATTCTCTTGGTTGATCATATTACAACTTCTTTATCAAATATAACAACAATTCTTGAAGAACATTCATTTAACGATACGACAATGTTATATCACTTTTAGTTTTCTTTTATATGTGTTTGAGCTTTTACATAAAATCTGTACTTATATTATTCCATAGTTAAGAAGTGAATTTCCGTAAAATTGATGATTGATATTTGATTTTTTTAATCATAAATGAAACATAAAATTCGAATCTAAATTTATTTGGAGTAATTTCAGGTTGAAATTGAAGAGGAAAACTACTTTATTTTATTGGCAAAAAAATATTTGATGCACATGCCTAAAAATTTTTAGTCAATTTTAGCATGTGTTTCAGATATAGATAAATAATTACACTAGTGCTGAATGAATTTGTTGTATTCGTTGTTGTTTCAATAAATTATGGTTGAAATTTGTCATTTCTGATTCTTGAGAACATAACAAATGGATGTGACATAGTTAAATTATCTACCTAATGGATGTTTGAGAACATAACAAATGGATGTGACATAGTTAAATTATCTACCTAATGGGTGTTTGAGAGCATAAACTTTTTCTACATACTTAATCTGAACTATCTAAACACAGCATGTTGTAATTTAAATATCTAAAGAAAATTTATTATCAAGTGCAAAGGTTATCGATATATTCAACCTTATGAATATTTTCACTTAACCATCAAATTAATCAACATGCTAACTTAGTTGTATTTTAAGTGTAAAAGAATCAATTGGATTCTTAGGCAACAAGGTTAAATTAATCAACTTATCAAAGACTTGAATGATTTAGTCACGTAGTATCAATCAAATACTCATGTCTATACTTCTAATATAATATTATTAGTCTAGTCATATAACCTATATCCGTGTAATAACATAAAGGAAAGGGAAGGTATACCACTAAATATTATGAAAATATTCCCTCAATATATAAAAAATAATTGTGATATTTCTGAGTTTGATTTGTTTATGTAGTAATTGTAATCGAACAATTTATTCTCAGGGAACAAATCGACCAATTTGACTTGGTCATGGTGGATGTCAACATGCCCGAAATGAATTACCTTGAGTTCATCAAGTCCGCTCAACTCATCAAAGACAAACATATTATTTGTAAGATCATTTTATCAAAATCTTAATTATTTTATGTGGTTTAATTAGTGTGTCCTATTCAATAATTCAAAAGTATATTTAAACATGTTATAAATATCACACATCATTATTGAACTTTGTCTTCTTTAATAATAATGTCAAAAAATTGACTTCTAAACACATTAATGTTACTTGTAGTTTCTCTATATGTTTTTTCTTGTCAAATTATATATTTATGTATGTTCCTTACAAACGTGGTGTATATATTTATGAATATCTAACTTCTCTCGATAATTCTGGATACCTGATTTTTCATTTTTGATTTAGTGATGTCTCCAGAGTTGACGATAAAAATGGTAAAAGAAGCAACAACACAAGGGGCATGCTTAAATTTTCACAAGTCGTCCCTTTTATCAATGAAACTCAAGGATGTATAGAAGTATGTGAAGAACTACAATAACAAGGCAAATGAAATAGGCATAATACATATATTGGATCCTAAACTTGACTTCAAATTTTAACTTTGACCTCCAACTTTCATAATGCACAAACAGTCTATGAGGGGAGTTCACAAAACAACACAAGTAGGATACAACACCTACAAGGATCGACGTCAAGACAATCAACCAAATATACTTCACCAATTTACCAAAAGAAATTCACCACTATATTAACCAAGCTCAAATCAGCAACACATCAATTGAATCACAAGCAAATATGAATTATAAATACGCAAGTGACACACAAGATTTATACGTGGAAAACCCCTTCGGTATGAAGGATAAAAAACCACGGGACTTGAGGGAGTCCACCCTTCTTCTTCTCTTATTATGCAAATTGAGGGTAAAAACACCCAAATCAGTCTACAAGGATGTCACAGCCCACCAACAACAACATACATAAGAGCCAACACAAAAGAGAAGAGAAATTGAGAAATATCACCAAAAATGCAGGTTACGCCAGCTGTGATAACAGACGATCAAGAACTCCGATTGACGATCTGAACGGTCAAGATGTATTGCTATGTATTGTGAACCAGCTGTGAAAATTTCAGAACGATCCAACGGTCGGATCTCTTGCAATCTGAAATTTTGTCTCGCTGTCCAGAAAAACCAGCAACCCTTTTCTCTCTCAAAACCCTCTCTCTATTTCTTTTTTTCTCTTCCAAAACAAAAAACCCAGCCCCAACATCAGCTGCCCAAGACTTCTAGAAGAAGTCAACAAAGCCCAAAATATATGGGCCACCCATCAATGGGCTGGACCCTTAACAATCTCCCCCTCCAGCCCAGTTCGGGGAGACCAAACATAAAAGGTCATCAAGAAGACATACCTGCAAGCTTGGAACAAAATTCAAGCTTGCTTCGAGGGACCACCTTTGTCAACATATCAGCACCATTCTTGTTGGTGTGAATCTTCTTCAACTTCATTAGTTGCTCTTCAATGACAACACGCAACCAATGATATCTCACATCAATATGCTTTATGCGAGCATGGTACATGCTGTTTTTGCTCAAGTCCATAGCACTTTGACTATCACAAAACACAACATACTCGCTTTGCTTCAAACCTAACTCTGGAAACGCTTTAACCAAAGCATTTCTTTGCTTGCCTCCACTGCTGCTATATATTCTGTCTCGGTTGTAGACAACGCTACACACTTCTGTAGCTTGGATTGCCATGAAATGGCTCCCCCTGCAAATTTAAACAAGTAACCCGAGGTAGACTTCCGGTTATCAAGATCTCCAGCCATGTCAGCATCCGTAAATCCCTCAAGAATAGGCTCACCACCTCCAAAACACAAACTCAGATTTGATGTGCCTCGCAAATATCTTAAGATCCACTTTACAGCTTCCCAATGAACCTTGCTCGGATTTGCCAAGTATCTGCTAACCAATCCAACAGCATGTGCTATATCGTCTTGTACACACCATGGCATACATCAATGAACCAACAGCAGAGGAGTAAGGAATATGAGACATACTTTCCTTTTCTTTCTCGGTTGTAGGACAACAACGCTTGCTCAACTTGAAATGGGCTGCAAGTGGTGTATTAACTTGCTTGGCATTTTTCATATTGAACCTTTCAAGCACCCGTTCAATATACTTTTCTTGTGACAATCAAAGCTTACCAGCTTTTCTATCACGAGCAATTTCCATACCAAGAATTTGCTTCGCAGGACCCAAATCTTTCATATCAAAGGACTTTGACAAATCCTCTTTTAACCTGCAAATCATCTCAACACCTTGTCCCACAATCAACATATCATCAACATACAAGCAAAGGATAATGAAGTTACCTTCAGAGAATTTTCTAAAATACACACAAGGATCTGCAGTAGTCCGCTTGTACTCATTACTACTCATGAAGGAATCAAACTTGTGATACCATTGCCTTGGTGCTTGCTTGAGTCCATAGAGACTCTTTTTCAACTTGCAAACAAAATTCTCTTTTCCCTTAACTTCAAATCCTTCCGGCTGCTCCATGTAAATCTCCTCATGCAAATCACCATGTAAGAAAGCAGTTTTAACATCAAGTTGTTCAAGTTCAAGATTCAAACAGGCAGCTAGTCCCAAAATCATACGAATGGAAGTCATCTTCACCACCGGTGCAAAAATCTCATCGAAGTCGATGCCTTTTTTCTGATGGCATCCCTTCACCACTAATCTTGCCTTCCGCTTCACTAGCTTGTTGTCAACTTTCTTGTTCTTAAACAACCACCT